CCCCCCCGGGACCTCTCCTGGGACCCCCCGAACCCACCGAGGGACCCCCCTCCAGGGGCCTCGCCCTCAGGAGCGCTGCCGTAAAGCGCGCGGCGGCGCTGTCGCTAAGGCAGCGGGCGAGAGGACCCGGGGACTACAGGGGAAGCCACGCCCCCTTTGGGGGATCAACCAATCAGCGAGCGCGCTGGAAAGGCGGGAGCTATGGAGAAGAGGAAAGCCGCGCCCTCTTTGGGGAATCAGCCAATCAGCGCTCTGGACACGCCCCTCCCGCCGGGGTCGGTCGCCAGGGAGACGCGCGGCGCCATTTGGGGCTGAGGCGGTGGCGGAGCCACTTCCGGTGGGAGCGGCCTCGGCCCGAGCCCGGCCCAGCCCTAAACCCGGCCCAGCAGGGACCCAGCCTCGTGACAGCCCCGGCCCCGCTCCCCCGGCTCGGCCCCGGCCCCGTTCCCGGTCCAGCCGCGGCCCCGCGGAGCTCCTGAGGCGGAGGTGGAGCGGGACGCGCAGGTACCGCGGCGCCGCCCTGCTTTCTGTCCTCATTCCTTCCCCCGATCCCCCCCGTTCCCTTCCTCCGTTTTCTTCTCGTTCCTCTCACCCTGGTCTCCCAATTTCTCCCGGTTCCCCCCGGCCCCGCTCTCCTGGTTCTACCCCCATCTTTCCCGGTTCCCCCCGATCTCCCCCGTTCCCCTTCATCTCCCGTTCCTCCCCCATCTCTCCGGTTCTCCCATCCCTCCCAGTCCCTCCCATCCCTCCCAGTCCCTCCCAGTGTGTCCCAATACCCCCCCCCCGGTGCGGTGGGTGCCCCCCCCCGCGGTGTGTGACTCCGTGTCCCCTCCAGGGCCCCCCCCCGGGGGCCGTGGCCGCCATGGCCGCCGTGTGGCAGCAGGTCCTGGCCGTGGATGCCCGGTGAGTGCGGGGAGGGGGCTTTTTTTGGGGAGGGGGGTGTCGATAACTGGGTCATGGGAGGGGGAGGGAAGTGGTACCTGGGTCCATTTTTGGGGGGGGCGTGGCCCCGGGATCTGGTTTTGGGGGGGGGGTGTCGAGACCTGGGGTTTCTTTGAGTGGGTTCCTGGTCCCTGGGTCCGTTTTTGGGGGGGTTTTGTGCTCCCTGGGTCCCATTTCTGACTCCTTTACCTG